AAAACAATGTAATACACTGTAAAGTTATATGTAATCCAATGTAATATAAAGAAGATTATGATGATAAAAAAAAAAAAAAAAAAAAGAAAGATTCAGCCCCAGGACCTACCTGCCTCTTGCTCTGAGCACAGGACTGGCATCCTCCACCAACACCGCACGATTCTCTCCCCCCCGCAGGGTCTATCTAGCTTGCTTAGACTAGAAACTCAAGGCATTTTGATTTGCAATTTTGTGTATAATTTTAGCATTGTGTAGGTTAGTGAGTGGTTATGGCACTGAATAAAACGGTCTAACAGCACTGGGTGGGGATCGTTATTTTAGTTAAAGTTTACACGAGTAGGACACGACACATTTTCCACTCGTGTAAGTGGGCCGGCCCTTATCTGAAAAGGTAAATTATTAGGAATATACTTATGGTCAAGGTTCAAGGTTTATTCCTAATCTAGACGTAAGAACAAAGACCTCTGAGGTTTGCTGAAACTACATTATGCAGATTAATAAGAGGGATACAGGCTTATTTAATGTGTGTACACATTAGCCGTTGTAGCTCATATTCTAATTATTAACGTTTTACTGGGGAGAGGAAAATGAATGAGTCCAATGCTCAGACAATGGTTAGTAAATGATTATCTTTTAGAGTTGGATGGGACCAACAAGGTACAGAAAGGTGAGAGACAAATTGCAAGGGAACAAAGATGGTCTAATTACACAGATGAACTTTCTTAGGTAATCCCTCAGGCTGGCTCAGAATAGCTATCAGTAGAGACTTTTAGTCTTTCTCTTCTGGATGCTTAATGAGATTCCTAGAGCCAGGCAGTACCTTGGAGGCTAAGAGGGCTAGATCCCACATGGCTGACTAGAGTTCCAGTTCCAGCCCTTGAACTTGAAAGGCATCATATGTGAATAAGTGTCTGAATGCTCCCAAATCCTGACAGGATGGACAAGGGATTGGCACATCCATGCCTCTTGGGGGTGCTTTCTTTCCCTTTCTGCCTTTGGGGAGCATGTGTGCCCTTTAACAAATTAAAAAACAGAATTTCATCTTGCCAAATAGTACACGACTGTTTTTTAAAAAAAATACAATTTAGGGGACCAGTAGGTGGCATGATCAAGAAACTGGACATTCCCACATGGCCTACCACAGTTTTAGTCCTGGACATGATGGCTTGCTTTCTGTCTCATCAAATTAAAAATGAATGAATAAATCTTTTAAAAAATACAATTTACAGGGCCAGCCAGATGGCTTAGTGGTCAAGGCAGCTGAATCCCACACGGTTGACTTCATAGTTAAGTCCCTGACCCGGTGACTTGAAAAAAAATACAATTTTGAAAAATTCTATAAAAGTGTGAGAGTTGTGTATAATTTTTTTGGCATACAATATGACATTTTTTTCTCTGAGCATCCGGACACCATATTCTCAGGTCTATAACTTTAGGAGACTGGATTATATTTTTTGGTGTTACTTGTAGTTCCTTTACTTAGCTGTCTGTTTAATAAATACTATGCAGGGGCCAGCAGGTGGCGTGCTGGTTGAGGCACTGGACTCCCACATGGATAACTACAGTTCAAGTCCTGGACCTGGTGGTTTTCTCACTCTCCTCCCACTCCCCCATCTCTGATCAAATTAAATAATAATAAGCCATTCTTTAAAAAAAAATAAATGCCATTGAAAAGAAGTTAGAGCTCCTTATCCATTTTCTTACAACTGAAGTCCTGTTACCAGAGACAGTTCAGGTTTCAACTAATCTTCCCTAGTCACAAATGAGGACCCAGATTATTTCGATTCAGTTAACTTTTCACTTATCAATGTCAAGACAAATGAGCAATACCTGGGAGAGATGGAAGACCATAGTAAGAGGGACACAGAGGGTAGAAAACAGACTACTAGTAGAACTAATAGAACTAGCAAGTCAATAGAAGGTTTTCTAATGGGATATAAGTACTGAAGCAATTTGATAGCTGTGTGGTATCTGGCCTCCAAGATGGTCCCCAGTGATCCCTGCTTCCTGTTAACATTGTCAGTGCCCTTCCACACTGGACCAGGGTTGCTCTGTGTGACTAACAGCACAGAGAAGTGATGGTATAGGCCAGACACAGGTGGTGTGGTGGTTAAGATGGCTGGATCCCATATGGCTGGTTGCCATGTGAAACCTAGAACTGGCAGCCTGACACCACCAGCCCCGCCCTGTGTGCCTGCATGCCCAAAATCCCAAGAGAAGGGATTTCGGCAGTAGCCATCCTCCATGCTCGGGGAGGAGAGTGTGATTTTTTTAAAGTGATGATATGAGGGTATAAGAGCCCGTGTCTTCCATTTTAGGTGCTCTTCCTAGCTTGTTCTCTCGGATCACACACACTTCCACCAGCTTTCCTGTTGTGAAGACACTCAGGAAATCTATAGAGACCTGAGGTCACCCATCAACAGCCAGCAAGGCTGAGACTTGCCAAAGATGACAGGAGTGAGCTTAGAAGAATTCTCCAGCCCTAAGCAAGCAATCACTGCAGCCCCGGATCTACAGCCAGAGTACTACTCAGCCGCTCCCAGATTCCTGAACCCGAATGAAACTGCACTGTAAGAAATGTTTGTTGTCCTAAACTCTTAATCTAGGGCTATTCTGTTACACAGCCACTATCACCTTTTCAAAAAATACGCAAACTCACTGGATCCTAAATTCTTATCACCTGAAATGGTTCTTTTCACAGCATTAATTAGGATAAATAGTGTGGGGTTGGCAGGTACCCGTGGTGGTTAAGGGTGTTGGACTCCTACGTGGTCTGCCATGGTTCAAGTCTCAGACCTGGCGGCTTGCTTTCTCTCTCACTCTGTCCCTCTCTGGTCAAATGAATAAAGTTAAATAGCTAAAAAATAAAAATAAATGAGTAGGACCATCTGCACTGGTGCAAGTAGTAGGGTGTTGCTAGGGCAGGCTGTGTGACACTAGAGCCATATGGGAGAACCCTGACTTAGGATCCCAGGTCAACCTGAACACAGGGGGCACACCTGTGAACCTGGCTGGCTGGGAGGATGGCAAAACTGTGAGAGATACCTGTCTATGTCTCTCACACCCCTGAAAGAAACTTTAAAAATCTGTATTTTAAAAAATTATCTAATTTGGGGGCAAGCAGGTGGCATGGTAGTTAAGGTGCTGGATACTCCCACATGACCAACCATGGTTCAAGTCCTGGACCTGGTGGGTTGCATTCTTACTTTCCCCCTCTCTGTCTATCTCTGATCAAATTAAGTGAGTCAATAGATAAAATTACATAATTCTTTTTTTGAACTTTATTTGACTACAGAGGGACAGAGAGAAGGAAAGTGAGAAAGCAAGCTGCCAGGTCTGGGACTCAAATCACGGTTGGCCATGTGGGAGTCCAGTACCCTCAACCACCATGCCATCAGCCAGCCCCAGAGTTAAAATAATTCTTTAAAAAAATAATTACCTGGGACCAGCAGTTGGCATAATGGCTATGTTGCTGGACTCCGATATAGTTGACCACTGTTTGAGTTTCAAGACTCCGTGGCTTAAACTCACATTGGGTGTGTGTGCATACGTGCCCATGATCCCTAGAGCAGAGTGAAGGAGAAGGGATTGCAGCATGGCCATCCCCCCTGGGGGCTGATTTCTCACTTTCTTTCTCTGTCTCTGTCTTCTCACATGGCCGACCATGGTCTGAGTCCTGGACCAGGTGACTTGCTTTCTCACTTCCCCTCTTTTTCTGTCTGATAAAACAAAAAAGTCTCTTTAAAAAAAAAAAGAAAAAGCTAGACTACGGAATCAGCACTCTTGCTTCCACGTGCTGACACGATGCATGCCGCATGAGGGAGTGCAGCCTGCGCAGGGGGCCTTTCATCTCCCACTTCTGCCCTTGCACACCTAGCATGTACAGAGAAGCCTCAGGACATGAAGCCAGGACCTTCCCTGCAGGTCTGGCATCACAGAGTCACATTACTGCCTTGTGACAAATGGCTTATTTGGCAGTGGTCACTGTGCGCTTCTGTGCTTAGCTTCTAAGGGACTGGTCATCCCAAAGAGCCAGAGCACAAAGCAGCTGCCTCAGGGGACATTACTATCTATTCATTGGCCTAGTCTGAGAGTACAGATTGGCAGGCAGTCACACATGGTGTGGTGGCTAAAGAGACTGGGTCACATGGGACCAGCAGATGGCATAGCAGTTACATCACCGTACTCCCACATGGCTGACTATAGTTCGAATCCCCAACCTGTTAGCTTCAAAATCACGCTGGGCGCACGAATGTGCATGCCCAAGAGCCCAGAAGAATGGACCAGCAGTGGTAATGGCTATTTCGCTGGACTCTCATGTAATCGACTGCAGTTCAAGTCCCAGACCCGGTGGCTTAAACTCACGCTGTGTGCGTTTGTGCCAAATATCCCGAGAAGAGAATGCAGAAGGGATTGGGGTGTGGCCATCCCCCCTGGGGGGGTGATTTCTAGCTTTTTCTGTCTTTCTGGCGAGCACATGCACTCTATAGCAAAAAACTCAAAAAAAAAATTACTGTAACATCAAGAGCTCTTCATTAGCAGGTGGTTCAAACAAACAAACCTTGGACAACATATTGTTAAGATTTGTTTCTTAAAAAATTATTTCACTTAACTTTACTTAATCTGATCAGATAGGGACAGAGAGAAAGAGAATGTGAGAAAGGAAGTGGCCAGGTCCGGGACTCAAACTGCAGTTGGCCATGTGGGAGTCCAGCACCCTTAACCACCATGCCACCTGTTGGCCCCAAACATACTGTAAGATTTGGATCATCCTACTTTTTCACACTTCTCCAGGTTGTGCTTTCTCCCGTTCCCAAACTCGGACCTTTCTCTCTGCAGTGCATGCATCTCATTCACTGACTGGATGTGGATTTCTACAATGTGACTCTATTTTGATATGTTTTGTGTCTCATGTCTTCATTGCCAACCCAAACTATTAAATTGGGAGGTGAGGCCAGCCAGCCCTTTTGAGTCTCCAAGACCTGTTGCCATACACAAGGCTGAAGATACAGTAGGTGGCTAACCAAGGCATGGATGTTACTTGGCTATTCTGTTCACTATTTAATCTATCATCAGTTTATGTAAGAACAAGAGTACTTGTGGGTTCTCTGAGATGGTGCTTCACTGATCCTTGTTCTATAGCCCTGAACCTTAAAAGGAAACTTAATATGTCAGCACAACACGGTACAAAATGCCTATGTGTTATTCCTGGTGTCTTTTAAAAAAGAAGTTGGGGCAGCAGGTGGCGTGGTTAGAGTGCTGGGTTCATGTGCCTAACAGCAGTTCAAGTCCTGGACCTGGTGATTTATAACTCACACTGTGTGTGTGTGCATGCATACCCAAAATCTTAGGAGAATGGAGAAGAGATTGCGGTGTGGCCAACCCCTGGCGGAGGGGTGTGACTTCTTGCTTTCTCTCTCTCTGACTCTCTGGTGAGCATGTGCCCTATAGCAAAAAATCTATTTAAAAAAAAAAAAAAACTTGTTCATGTTTTATTTTTGCCCTTTAAAAAAAAAAAAGTATTATTTTTATTTAACTTTATTTTAATTTGACCAGAAAGGAACAGAGCAAGAGAAAGAGGGAAAGTAAGAAAGCAAGTCACCAATCTGTGAGAACCACAGTTGGACATGTGGAGTCCAGTGCCCTTAGCCACTGTGCCACTTGCCAGCCCCTTATTTTGCCTTTAATCAACAATTTAGGAACTGGGCAGACTGGTAAGTAGGAATGGACAATGAACTCAAATGTCCTAATGCAATAGAACTGGGCCCCCAGTTTGACTCACATGACCTCTCAGCCATCAGTCAGCTCACGTGATGGCCAAACAAGCAGATTCTGGCCTCCTGCCATTGCTGGGCTATCCCCCTGCCTTCCTGTCTCCAACTTTAGGTCAATCTCCCATCACCACTGACCCTGCACCAATCCTGAACAGACCTCTGACCTCATATCCAACAGCCAGCCAGATCCCAGTCAATCCATTGTTCTAACTGATCCCCTTGGTGTCTTGTCTTGAAAATCTGAAATGTGCCTGGCCAGGACTAGAGTAAAACGCAATTTTTACTTTAATACAGATACATCATGGGCAGTAACTGGGAGGGACACAAACGGAGTTAACATGGAACACTCTGGTGCAGTTTGCATACTCGATGTCCCTCCTTACCTGTGCTTTCACTTTCTGTAGATTGTTAGCTGTGGCCAGCTGTGGTCTGAAAACATTAGATGGAAAACTTCAGAAATAATACCTATTTTTTTGTCTGTTTTTTAAGTTTTTATCATAGGGCTTGTGTGTTTGCCAGAGCTAGAGAGGCAGAGAGGAAAAGTCTCACCCCCACTGTACCACCAGGAGGGATGACTGGGCCTCAATCCCTTTTCCATTCTCCTCTCAGAATTTTGGGCACACACGCACATGTACCCGGAGCGATTTTTTTTTTTTTTTTGGGAGGTTTTTGCCATAGGGGGGGGGGGCTCACCAACAGCGCAAGAAAGCGAGAAATCACCCCCCAGGGGGGATGGCCACGCCACAATCCCTTCTCCTCCATTCTCCTCTCGGGATCTTGGGCACGCACACACACATGCCTGGCGTGGGTTTTAAGCCACCGGGTCCAGAACGCGAACCAGAGTCGACCACATGGGAGTCCAGCGACATAGCCATTATGCTAACTGCTGGTCCCCCGGAGCGATTTTCAAGCTGCTGGGTCCAGGGATCAAACTGTGGTCAGCCATGTAGGAGTCCAGTACCTTCGCCACTATGTCACCTGCTGGCCCCACAATTCCTAAGTTGTAATTTGCAGGCTGTCCTGAGCAGAATGAGATCTTGTGATGTGAGTCACCCCTTTGTCCAGAGTACCCAGGCTGTATACACTCCCTACCCCTTAGTAAGTAAATACTACACAGGGGTTGGTACCATCTGTGGGTTCAGGCAACCACTGGGGGTCAAAGGGAAGATTACTGTATGACCCAATTAATCATAGTGGCAAAAGCTTGAAGGTCTTCACGCATTAATTTCAGACAAAATTTGACTCCTTCCAAAGGTCCAACTTCAAGTGTCCTGGTTCCAGACCCAGAATCCTCCAGCTAACTTCACTACCCCCTGGTGAAACTGGCCTCTTCACCTCAGCCTTCACTATGCAGGATTCACTGAAGTTGTTCTCAAACACCCAGGTCCAGCAGCACCCACCTCACCTAGGAAGTTGTTAAGAATTAAGCTCTCAGACCCTCCCTCAGCCTCACTGAATCAAAAACTTCACGTGTGGGTCAGAAAACCCTCCTAGTGACTGATAGATATTAAAGACTGAGAACTCTGGCCTGAAGGCACTGCTGATCACTAACAGTTCATTCTTGACCAAAGAGAAACAAAGGCATTTCTTGGCACTTACTTTCTGGGTCCTGATTTTTCTTATTTCAAGAGTGACCTTTCCCCACTGTATTCCATCAGTGAATGCTAATTAGAAGTAAAATCATTGCTTAATAGTTTTTTTTAAATTGTGCATTCCCAAGTCACACTGTCATATTCTTTTTGTGTCTATGTCCTTGGGAATCTAGGGCAATAGGCCTGCTCAGTGTGGTTCTTATCCACAAAACTCGTTTTGTTAGAACTTTCTAGTTCCGAAATTAGGCTGTCCTGCTCACTCATTTCCCAGCTCAGTGTCCCACTATGGATATTCCCCACTTCACACACGCTCATGGACAGGACAGGTGGTCTGCCTTCTCTAGGCAAAACTGAAATCAAGAGAAACAAGGGCCAGCTATACAGGAGTGGTGCTGGAAGTTTGACTACTAGTGTAGTCCGATTCCCGACGGCACTCAGGAAGGACGGACAGTGGAAACCAGATGGCTGACTTCTGGGCTGGCCCTCTTTCCACCAACAGACCACCTCGTCGTCACACAGGCAGCTGTGGGAACAGTGAAGTCTAGCTGCAGAAACGGCCAGTAAGCTTAGCCCGTTAACATTCCTAGCTCTCTGTGGTGCTGCCACCCAACCAATCTCGGAACACAGTGGTCTTTGAAAAATCTTTCCAGTGAATCCTCCAAGGTTCTTACAAAGTTCCAGAACAGCTCAAAGAGCACCGTAAATCAAGAACAGCTGACAGACTGGGTCTATATTTAAAGATACAGGTGGGTAAAAAAGAAACCTGAGTTGTCAGCAGAAAATGAGCCTCAAGACAGGACTCCTGCAAGGGACCAAGTTCTTCAGGTCAGATGGAGGGCAGTGAAGCCATGAGTGGATGAGGGTACAAGTGTAAAGAATGCCAACTCCCAGGACATGCACCCAGACACGGGAAGGATGACCAGAGCCTGCTTTGAGTAGTTTACCTCCTCTACACCTCCTGTAATAGGAAATTAGGCTATTCTTGAGGTTCAATCTTAAGTTGCTATAGCCTAAAATGAATCTAGGGGCCAGCAGGTAGCCTGGTGGTTAAGGCGCTGGACTTCCAACAAGACCAACTCCACAGTTCAAGTCACAGACCTGGTGGCTTGAAAAACACACCAGGCATGTGTGCCCAAAATCCCAAGAGGAAAGCGGGGGAGAAGGGATTGTGGCCATCCTTCCTGGGGGTTGGGGGGGCTTCTCACTTTTCCCCTCTCTTCTCTCTCTCTGGTGAGCACATGTGCCCTATGACAAAAACGTAAAATAAAAAATCTTTTCTCATTTTCAACATTGTAGTTACCTACATACCCCCAACTGTAAACTGTCACAGAAGGGAAAATAAGTGATTTTTAAACCCATGGGCAAATTCCTATTACAAGTTAATCACGACAAACTACAATCCGAGTAGATTCACTCACAGTGGAAGTCACTATCTCCAGTAGGACAGACGAGCAAGAGAGCAAAGATCAGAATGAGACGAACCAAGCAGCTTACAACTCAGTACCACAAGCAAACAGGCCTACTGTATACGATTTCACTTGTCTGAATCAGCAAGTCAATCTTAAAATCTACAGCTTACCTGACAATCTTAAACCTTTTACAAGCATTGGAGGAGAATCCGATACTTCTCAGAGGAATCTCCGTTTAGGCTAAAATGAAAAAATTTAGGAACTTATAGTATGGGTCATGGGGAAAGTTACGATGCATTTTTTGCAGAGAAAAATATGTCATGACCTTCCCGATGCCCTAATAAATAGGAAGGCCTTTCTTGGACTGCCTGATTTTTTAACTCAGGGCTCAACCCAGTTTCTTTCTTTTCTTTTTTAAAAATAATTATTTCATTGAGACCAGCAGTTAGCGCAATGGCTATGTCGCTGAACTCTCATATAGCCGACCGCGGTTCGAGTCCCAGATCCAGTGGAGTCCCAGTTCCAGTGGCTTCAACTCACACTGGGCGTGTGTGCCCAAGATCCCGAGAGGAGAATGAAGAAGGGATTGTGGTGTGGCCATCCCCCCGGGGGGTGATTTCTTGCCTTCTATCTCTCTGTCTCTGTCTTCCTGGCAAGTGCACACACACCCTATAGAAAAAAAAAAAAAAAAACCTCTCCAAAAAATAATTATTTTATTGAACTTTAATTAATTCATATCTAATCTGACCAGAGAGGGATAGAGTGAGAGGGAGGGAAAGTAAGAAAACAAGTTAAACCACAGTCGGCCACGTGGGAGTCCAGTGCCCTTAACCACCACACCACCAGCTGGCCCTCAACCCAGTTTCAACCTCAATATTTGTATCCCATGAAAGTCTTAAATAGGCTTCTTTGCTGGGTGAGTACACCCTAACTCTGCCATGACTTCAGTGGCTTAAATACTTCCCTGTCAGTTCTAGACCAAGACTGTGATATGTTGCAGAAAGTGTCCAAAGACAAAAGAGAAGTAATTTCTGGGACCGGCAGATGGCGTAGTGGTTGGGGACACTGGAATCCCACATGACCAACGGCAGTTCAAACCCTGGACCTGGTGGCTTGCTTTCTCACTTTCCCTCTTTCTCTGCACCTCCTTGGTCAAATAAAAAAAAGTTAAATAAAGTAATTCTTTTTAAAAAAGGTAATCTCTACATAATCGTTACAGCTTTGTGTAAGAAGAGTGTCATCCTCAATAAAGTGAATCCTTTTTTTTTTTTAAGAGATTTTTGTTACAGACTGCATGTGCTTGCCAAAGAGACAGAAAGAGAGAAATCACTCCCCCAGGGCGATGGCCAAGCTACAATCCCTTCTCCTCTTAGGATTTTGGGCGTGCACACACACACATGCCTGTCATGAGTTTTAAGCCACTGGGTCCGGGAATCAAACTATGGTTGACTATGGGTAGCCCAGCAACGTAACCATTACGTCATCTGCTGGTCCCAGAAGTCCTCTTTTTAAGGGGCATCAACAGATTCACTGCTCATACTCACACATGAGAGTATAGACTGTTCCTTCCCACTGACACAATGTTGTAGGTGGAAGGATCCAACAGGCTTTCACGAAACGCCACTAGAATTATTCACAATAGTAAAATTACCACCCATTTACAGTCCTAGGACATGAAATACAAAGAAACCTTTAACCATCTAGAGAAATGGTTTTCAAACTCATTTGAAATCAGCTCCATCACAACCTCGTGTTTACATATATGTATAAATGAAACAGGTTTCACAAAATGCTACCTCTCTAACACACTATGTATTTTCCCTTCCGCTTTAAAAAAAAAAAAACAAAAAAAAAAGGCAGCTGGCTATGACACTATTTCCTAATAGTCAGAACCTAGAGTTTAAAACAACACTGGTCAAGTATTACTGTTTTAATCTCCAAAAAATATGGACAGCCTAGCACAATACCTTTTAAGTAGAATTGCACACATTCAAATCCTGGCACCATTACTTACTTGGCTGTGAGACCCAGGTCTTAGGAAATACTATGAACTGTGCTTGCTTCTCCACCCGTAAGTCACCACGGTGCGAATCCCAGCCTTGGTGGCTTGAAAAACACACAAGGTGGAAGTGTGTGTGCACCCAAAATCTCAGCAGGCTGAATGAATGCAGGAAAGAACTGTGGAGTAACCACGTCACCTGGGAATTGTTTTCTTTCTTTGGGGACCATATGTGCCCTCTGGCAAAAATAAAACGGAACATCTATTATAAAATTTAATTATACTTACAAAGATGCTTTGAAAGTACCCTATTAAAGGATTAAATAAAAATGCTGGCACAAGGTTAGACCCTGCCAGCTGGTGGCAATGGCCTGGGATGCTGGCTAAGGGCCTTCCCACTATACTGAAACTTGAGCATGTATGTAATATTGGTTACAGAAAGTTAAATAGTACTGGGTTATAAATGCTTATTTCCTTACTGAAGATTACTTGAGGATTCACTTAAAAAAAGAAAACTTACTAGAGAAATATGATGTAAAGCCTTCATTTTCTTTTAATATTGACTTTTTTTTTTAAAGAACTATGTAACTATATTTATTTATTATTTAAATTTGACCAGAGAGGGATAGAGCAAGAGAAAGAAAGCAAGCCGCCAGGTCCAGGACTTGAACTGTAGTTGGCCATGTAGGAGTCCAGCACCCTTAACCACCATGCCACCTGCCAGCCCCTGCCTTCATTTTCTTTTTTTTTTTTTGGAGAGGTTTTTGCAATAGGGCACATGTGCTTGCCAGAAAGACAGAGACAGAGAGATAGAAAACAAGAAATCGCCTCCCAGGGGGGATGGCCACACCTCAATCCCTTCTCCTCCATTCTCCACTCAGGATCTTGGGCATGTGCGCACACACACACCTGGAGTGAGTTTAAACCACCGGGTCTGGGACTCGAACCACGGTCGACTACATGAGAGTACAGTCGTTACACCAACTGCTGGTCCCTCGACCTTCATTTTCTGAATGTATTATTGAGAAGTTCCTTTTTAAAAAATTGCTAGAGGGCACATGTGTCAAGCATTCCCAGTGAGATGTGGTCATACCGTACTCCTTTTTCCTCTACTCCTCCAATCGGTCAGGATACTGGGTGAGCACATACATGTGCCTATGGGTCAGCCACAACTCAATCCCTGGAACCAGATCTCCTTAAGCACTAAAGATTTTTATTGAAATTTTTTATTTAGAAAAGTAATGCCCTACTGATTTAAATTTGGAGGGGACTAAAGTCCTATTAATCTTTCTTTAATTTTTGCTATAGGGCGCATGCACTCGCCAGACAGACAGAAAACAAGAAATCATCCCCCAGGGGGGATGGCCACACCGCAATCCCTTCTCCTCCGTTCTCCTCTCGGGATCTTGGGCATGCACGCACACGCGCCTGGCGTGAGTTTTAAGCCATTGGGTCCGGGACATGAACCGCGGTAGACTACATGGGAGTCCAGCGACATAGCCATAGCTAACTGCTGGTCCCTAGTCCTATTAATCTTATTTTAGTAGTTTCTACCCAGTAGGTTCTATTGCATTCTGCCTTTTCATTCCCCACCAAAAACAAATCATGTGTAAATAAAGCCTTTCCTATTCATAACTTAAGCAATATTGAGTAATCCTACATAGCTAAAATTTTCACTTTACCTTCAGACTTAAAAATCATTTCTCAATACAAAAAATTATATATTCTGTTTGAATATCCTCTGAAGCACAATTCTAACACCAGCAAGGTAGTCACAATGACATAGTTAGCTTTTCTAGTTTTAAAATGTCCACTTTATTCCATATAACACTTAACCAGATATCATTTACATCTGAGGAAAAAATGGCCCATGAAACTGATCTACGGTAAAACAGTCTAAGAAATGTAATTCAATTTTGCACATTTCCAGGCATCCCTAAAACAAGTGTATCACAAAGCAGAAAAAAGGTATCACGACTACATTTCACATTAAGATAAAAGGGAAGTATCAATAAACCTCACAAAGTAGGAAATTCCGCTGTCCCTTAAAACCTGGGTATGCAATAGTTACAAAGCCATAGTAAATGGTTTATAAAATGTCATTTTATTTTATGTTACTCTCTCTCGTTACCATAGGGCATGACATTTTCACATGATACCCTGTATGCATCTAGTTTTCGGCCCCTTCTGTTGTATCACATTCTTCTCCTGCACTGTCTGACTACATTTCAATGATTAGCAACACACAATGGTAGTCCAACTCTCTACGATCACTAGACAAACCAGACACCCTCTTACATGTGCACAAATCTGCATGGAAAAGTCCTGGAGTTTTAGACTTGGACGTGTGTACTTTAGCTGGTTTCCCCTTTCTAGTGTAGTACGAAATGACATGCACTTTAATTTGCCAAAAGCGATGCTTGGATTCTGGCAGCAACATGCTACTTCTATTACACAGTAAAGTGAATACCACAACTACAAAGGCAGATGTAAGTGAACTTTTATTGGGAAGGGAAACTGTCAACTTAAACAGCAGCAAATGAAGAGTGAATAAGGAGACTCCCTGTCGTCACAATATACCTGACCCCCATAATATATGGTATCGGAGGCATTTCAACATGTGACCCCCAGCCCAGAAATGTCAAGTGCTTTTCCATTCAATCTAATACTTCTGGATTCCTACTAAAAAGGAATATATTAAGAGCATGTAAAAGTTGCTTACTGAAAGGAAACCCCCAAAGGAGAGTAAGGGAGGGAATGTAGAAATTAAGAAGTTATGTAGAACACTCTTTAAGTTGTATTTAACTACATTTTCATATCTTCACAGTAATACAAAAACACAGTCACTTGCAGAACTGGTTCAGATTACTTAAATACCGAATAAGTTTTAGTTTTCTACATAAGTGTTTGGAAATTGCTTATGCTTATATGAAATGAAGCTATTAATACTTTTCTACAGCAGGAACTGCACACCAGGAAGGCCAAGACAAACACAAATCAAGGAATGGAGTTTCCCAAAGCTGCAATGTGAAAAGACTATAAACGGCTGATTCCATACACAGGAGTGGGTTTCTTTCTATAGGAAATCCGAGTGGAATAGGAATGGAGACGTGTAAAAAGGTTTCTCGAGGGGAAGGAGGATGACACCCTGTATGCATCTAGTTTTCGGCCCCTTCTGCTGCATCACATTCTTCTCCTGCACTGTCTGATGTCCATAACTGGAAAAAGAAGAAGATCATGTTACTACTGCTTGTTATATCAAAATGTAACTGAGAACTGTGAATTCCTCGAATGACAGGGATTTTGACTAAAATACTTCCCTCTGAAAACCTCGAAGGTCATCACCCCTCCCCAGGTGTATCCTTGCAGACTTTTCACTATGCATTTACAAAATGACACAAACACATACAACATTCAAGTATTTTCTTTTTTGAGAGAGAGATGAAGAAGGAAAGAGACAGGTTTTTTTGTTTTTAATTTTAGTTTTGCCATACAGCCACACGCTTACTAGACAGAAAGTGAGAGCACCCCACACCCCCGGGGTAGGGGGTGGCCACACCACAGTCCCCCCTTTTTCATTCTCCTCTCAGGATTTTGGGCATGCAGGCACGCACATGTGCCTGAAATATTGTTCAAGTCACCAGTTTCTGGGCTCAAATCATGCTGTTGGCCTTGTGGGTTCCAGCTGCCTTAACTACCATGCATCCCCTGGCCCAAGAGAGGGAGAGGGGAAAAGGATGCCCTTGTGGGAATGGTCACCCTGCAATCACTTCTGCTCTTTTCTCCACCCTGTTGGAATTTTTGGCATGCATGCATATGCACGCCCTGAATGTTTCTCAAGCCATTAAGGCCAAGGCTCAAACAGGAGGGATCAGGCTGCCTTAAGCACCAGTCCACAGCACTGGCCCTAATGGGTGCTTTTTTTGGGGGACAGGATCCTTCCATGTGTGTGACCACCCTGCCTCAGCATCCCAATTAGCTAGGATTATAGGCGTGCACAGCCACACCCTGTGTGCTCAGTTTAACCTAGGAACTAAACTGGGTCCTCCCATGTGGCTGCTAGCTTCCTTCCTAAATGGTGGCACTATCTGTGTGCCATAGTGGCTGGTTCTTTTATTAAAAAAATATATTTTTTATTTAACTTTATTTATTTACTTATTTTTAATTTGACCAGAGAGAAAGAGAGAAGGCAAAAACAAGCCACCAGGTCCCAGACTTGAACCATGTTCGGCCATGTGGGAGTCCAGCGGATCTAACCACCCACCACTCCACCTGCCAGCCCCATGGCTAGATCTTAAGGACAAACATTTTCAGATTTTTACTTTAAAATAATTTCAAAATAGGCAGGAAAACCATCTTAGAATTTACTGCTCTCTCCATTGCAAACAGCTCAGTGCTTTTTTTAAAAAAAATAATTGCCTGAAAGTGTGTGTGCCAGAGAGAGAGACAGACTACGAGACACAACGAAGCATGGTCAAGTTGTAATCCTTGTCTTAGAATGTACTTAGAATTTACACAACCTGCCAGTTTTGCAAGTCACCAGGACCTGGATTCGAACTATAGTCAGCCTGGTTCCACTTAACACTAGGCTATAGGGCCAGGCCAGCCCTGGTTTCTGAAAGCACTATTACAACATAATTTACGAGGCTTGTAGGCAGAACATTTTTATAGGAAGGGAAAAAGCACAGTCATGGCAGTTTTCCAAGCATGTCTTCACATAGGGCTAACAAACAGGAAAAAAGGCAGACTTATTTTGTGCTGCTCCAGTTACGTATGAGTGATGGCTACAGGGAAGTAGGAATGTGTGCATGCGTATGTCCAGAAGGGCTCTTGATTTAGGCAGGATGCTAAAATGAATACAACTGACCTTCAAGGATCACTCCAATCATACGGTGAAAGAAGTAAAGGAGGAACACTCAAGATTTATTGACTATAGGGACCAACAGTTAGCATAATGGCTATGTGGCTGGACTCCCATGTAGTTGACCATGGTTCACGTCCTGGACCCGGTGGCTTGAAACTCACACCGGGCACATGTGCGTGCGTGCGTGCCCAAGATCCTGAGAGGAGAAGGAATGCGGCATGGCCATCCCCCCTGGGGTTGGGGTGGGGTGTGATTTCTCGCTTTCTGTCTCTCTGGCAAGCACACGCGCCCTATAGCTAAAAAAAAAAAAAGATTTATTGACTGTAATCCAAGGCATTGCTAGCAATTTTAGAAAAGCTACAAGGCAATTTTGGGACCAGCAGATGGCGTAATAGTTATGTCGCTGGACTCCTGCACAGTTGATCGCAGCTTAAAACTTACACCAGGTGCAGGTGAGTGTGGCCAAAATCCTGAGGAGAATGGAGAAGGGACTGTGGTGTGGCTATCCTCCCGGGGGGTGATTTCTTGCTTTCTGTCTATCTCGCCAGTGAGAGCATGCACCCTATAGCAAAAATCTTTAAAAGAAAAAAGCCAAAAAACATAAAACGAACGAAAAACACAAAAAAGAATTTTACATCATCTTTAAGCTATTGCTAAGATACTAAAATAAATAAAACAAAACCCCTCAAAGAGCTATCTCCACGAGAGAAAACAAAACAAAACCAGTTAAAAGGAGCTCTAGGGGCCAGTCCATGACCTGGTGGTTAAGGTGGCGGGATCCCACGCGGCCAACTGTGTGGTTAGTCTCAGACCTGGCAGCTTAGAAACCAAGTTAGGCAAGTGTGTATGTGAGCCCAGAATCTTGGAGGGAGGGAAAAATGAAAGAGAAGGGATTGTGGCAAGAACATCCTCCATGGATGGAGCTTTCTCAGCCCCCTTACTGGCACCCTATCTTTCTGGTCAGTGCACAAAACCTCTGGCAAAATTTAAAGAAAAAATTGGGTAGCTCTTAAAGACTGAGAAGAGGCATAATTACACACTTTGTTCTTCTAGAGAACTAGCTATTTGCCAATCATTCTTTTGGTCCCTCAAGGATATCTCATGGCTAAAAATGAGGCATCCTCATAATTTCTTTTTTAGTAGATTCATAATTTTTGTATTCAGCAAAGTTCAAAAGATATAGTATTATTTAAAAACAAAAAAATTCTACATAGGTCCAGCAGTTAGAATGGAGGGTAAGGCAGCTGGATCCCACATGGCTGACTAAGCAGTTCAAGCCCCAGACCCAGCCGGTTGAGGATCACGCGCGCGCGCGCGTGTGTGTGTGTGTGTGTGTGTGTGTGCATGCCCAAAGTCTGGAGAAGAGAGAGAATGCAGGAGAAAGAACAATGGCATGGCTATACCTTCAGGAGAATGATTTCTCACTTTCCCTCTCTTTATCTTTCTCTCTTTGGCAAGAGCACACGCATTATAGCAAAACTACAATCAATAAAATAAAATCGTATCTAGTAAAAAATAAAGCACCAAACTAGACGTTCAAGAGAACTACATTTATGTTAAATGATGTATCCCTTTTTTTTTTTTTTACATTCTATTAAGTCCAAGATTTAGAATACTACATTTACATAAACTTATATTACGGTTTAAGCTGTACCTTTTCTATTTTTTTATTATTTTATTATTTTTATGGGAGAGGTTTTTGCTATAGGGCACATGCATCCACCAGAAAGAGACCGAAAGACAGAAAGACAGAAATCACCCCCCAGGGGGGATGGCCATGCCGCAATCCCTTCTCCTCTCAGGATCTTGGGAACACACGCACAGGCACCCAGCGTGAGTTTAAGCCACCGAGTCCGGGACTTGAACTGCAGTCAACTACATGGGAGTCCAGCAACATAGTCATTATACCACGTCCTGATCCCAGCTATACCGTTTCTTGGTTACTTCCTCTATCAACTGCCTAGCCATGAAGTAGAAAGAAAAACAAAAGGAAAAGACAAAAACAGAGACTTCAGTCTAGAAGCAGAGGTGAAATAAATTCAAGTGTAAGTTTACTCCTTACCAAATACTTTAGAACAAATGTTTATCAACTATTATGCCCAATTCAGGAATTAAAGTTTTCTTAGAATAAGGTGTTTCGTATGATTTTAGGAAAGCCTAAATATTTATTTAGCCTCTAACTAGCTATGGCTAACTTACCTAAACAAAGAAAATACTGAAATTACATAAGCTCTCTAAATTAATATGATTTATCAACAGCTTCGTCCCAAAGGAAAAGCAATGGTTAGCGTCTGAGTTCTTACGGCCTCCAGAACTTCTCAGGAAGAGTCTGACAAAATACCTATTCAATTTGAAAATCTGCCTACGGCCAATCCTCAGTATCCATTGAGGAATGATTCTAGGACCCCATGTGGATACTAAAATCTCCAGATGGTCCAGTCCCTTGTATGAAATGGCAGAGAGCCCAATCACAGTAGTGCAGGTTGGGTGATGCTGCTACTCAGCAGGCAGAGGCCCAGGTTCAATTCCTAGCCCATCCTATAAAGTCAGGCACAGTTATATACACCTATAGTCCCAGCTACTCAGGAGGCAGGAGTAGAAGGACAGCAACTCAGACCCTGTCTTCGAAACGAAAACAAAACCCAACAATAACAAAAACTAAAGGCACAGTATCTGCATACAAGCTACGCATATCCTCCTGAATTTTAACTCATCTCTTAATCATTCGCAAGTCATCTTAGCATGGGATATAAGTATAAAGGAAAACAGGTAAACTTCTTTATTGCCTCTCTGTTAGGGGGTCCCCCCTTTGCCCCTTCACAAGTGGTCAGGTCTGGCAGAGGCTGCAGCTGGTTGAATCTACACATGCAGAACTGGGCACGAAGGGCCGTGTTCTCAGACTTCAACTCTTACATAGCTACCCCAAAGACAGGGAGCCCTAAGTTAAATACAAATACTTTTGTTCCTGAAAAGGAATGAAAATTGGAGAAAGCAAACAACTCACTGTTAAGTTGTCTCTAAGCAACTGCATGATGAGGGTGCTGTCTTTGTATGAGTCTTCATTCAATGTATCAAGCTCTGCAATGGCTTCATCGAATGCCTGATAGATATTGATATCCAAGGTAAGCAACACATGCTGACAGAAACCGGTTACTCTACAATTATAATCCATTTCTATACAATAGGTCACCATTCACTTTAGGTTCTACTATCAATTAGCAATACTTCAATGGAATCACTCCCTGATGCTCAGTGTAAGTACTTACCCGGATAACCTGAAAGCTATAAAGCTCTCTGTACCTGACCTCATGGTTCTCTCACATTAAGCAATGCTTAATGTCTCACCCGCAAGAACTAGCATTTTACCGACATTTGCAAAAACTCTCTGTCCTCTCCCACAGCAAGACACTAAGGAATATGGCTAATGCAGCTATCCCAGCAACTAAACCTGGCAAGCAATGATTCAAATCTTTCACATTTCCTTCTTCAAGTTTTTGATACTTATATAAGGTCACTATGACCAATACACTCTTTAGTCAGATTACTACTACTTACAATCACTGTTAAGGAAGGTAGTGTCACGAGGGATAACAATAGGTGGTTGTGATGTTAAAAAAAAAAAAAAAAAAGGAGCTCTCCATATTAATTATCAAGATCATCTTTGCATACTTAAGAAAAATATCCAGAATTTAAGAAAGTCAGAATTGTAAATAACCTTAGCCAAGAAGGGTATACTTCCAGGGCACACAGCTTACCGTTTTAGCCAATGTGCAGGCAAGCTCTGGGTTATTAAGGATCTCATAGTAAAATACAGAAAAGTTAAGAGCCAGCCCCAGGCGGATTGGGTGTGTGGGTTGCATCTCTTTCTTGCTTATATCAAATGCTTCTTGGTAAGCTCCTTGGGAATTATCTATCGTTTCTGTGAAGGGAAAAAAAAAATTAAAATGCATTATACCGAAAATATCAATCTAGTGACAACTTTAACATAAGCTATGAAAATATCAATCTAGTGACAACTTTAACATAAGCTACCAGTTCTAGGTGCAATCAAATTTTTAAATTAATTTGACTTCTTTTACAATCAAATTAACAATTTGATTACTATTTTTCCCACGTTCATGTTTTCTACAATAGTCTAAAATGAATAGGTATTTAATACTCCAACCTATTTGTATGACCGCTACTTTCTCAATCAAAAGTTCCAGTGTCTTTAGCTTTCTAGAGTAAAACCTAAACATGGGTGAAACTTATCTGTAAAGGTAGAACAAATTATACACCAGCAATACTTCACTACTGTTATTTTCTCCTCAAAAATGTGATTGTTAAGGGCCAGCAGGTGGCATGGTGGTTAAGGACACTGGACTCCCACATGTCTGACTGCAGTTTAAATCCTGAACTTGGCAACTTGCTTTCTCACTTTCCTTATTTCTCTCTCTCGCTCTGTCCCTCTCTAGTCAAATGAAAAAATAAAGTTCAATAAAATAATTCTTTACACACACACACACACACACACACACACACAAAAGAAACAACAACAACAACAAAAAAAACTCCAGCGTTGAGGGAAAAAAATCAATTCTGGATTTAAAAAAATATTTTTTGATTATATATATTTAGTAGTTAATGTTAAATTCTTTAAAATAGTGGGTCATTAGAAGTCATGACACACTTCTGTATAGAAAAACACAGGAAAGGGGCCAGCAGGTGGCAGTGGTTAAAGTACTGGATTCCAACACGGTTCACCAGACCTAGAGGCTTAAAACTCATGCTGGGAACATGCTCAACATCAAGGTGAATGTAGAAGGGACAGCGGTGTGGTTATCCCCTTGGGGGGTAGTTTCTCTCTCTCTCTGTCTCTCTGACAAGGTCATGTACCCTATAGTAAAATATCTCTATTGGAAAAAAAAAAGAAAAAAGAAATAGGAAAGTAGGGCTTTTCCGATGACCCAATGGTATGACAAACAGCATGAATTAGTATGACAAACAGAAAAAGTATAACATCCTGTCTCTAGGTTTTCACATGTCAATAAGTCTTCTAAAACTTAAGATTTATTCAGTTTATCAGTATTATTTTTAAAATTTGACCAGAGAGAGACTGAGAGGAAAAGCAAGAAAGCAAGCCACCAGGTCTGGGACTCAAACAGTGGTCTACCATGTGGGAGGTCCAGTGTCTTAACCACCCTGCCACCTGCTGACCCCTCCAATTAAGTTTTAAGGCATGACACCAAAGGCTATGTGAACTATAGAACCACTCAAGAAAAAAATGCAAAGAACTCTGGAGCTAAAAATATGATGAACTAAAATTCCTTTTTTTTGAGAGGTTTTTGCTATAGGGCACATGTGCTCGCCAGACACATAGAGAGACAGAGAGAGAGAAAGCAAGAAATCACCCCTCAGAGGGGATGGTCACACCGAAATTCCTTCTCCTCCATGCTCCTCTCAGGATTTTGGGCAAGTGCACACGCCTGGCGTGAGTTTAAGCCACTGGGTCTGGGACACGAAACATGGTCGACTAGACAGGATTCCAGCAACATAGCCATTACGCTAACTGCTGATCCCAGATGAACTAAAATTCTAAAACAAACCATTAAACATGTTTTTAGGAATATCATCTCAGATTAGAGTTCACTTGAGTTTTTTTTGTTTTTTTTTTTTTAATCTTCTAAAGATCTAACCCATGGGACCAGCAGTTGGCATAATGGCTATGTTGCTGGACTCCCACGTAGTCGACCGTGTTTTGAGTCCTGGACCTGGTGGCTTAAAACTCACGCCAGGCACATGTGTGTGTGTGCCCAAGATCCTGAGAGGAGAATGGAAAAGGGACTGTGGCATGGCCATCCCCCCCTGGGGGGTGATTTCTCACATTCTGTCTCTCTGTCTCTGTCTTTCTGGCGAGCACACACATTCTATAGCAAAAACCTCTCAAAAAAAAAAAAGTGTAATCCATTTCTTTTAATGAGAGAGAAAAAGGGAGAAGGGAGGGAGAGGCAGGGACCCCTTAGCAAGGTCCCTGAGATCCTTTCTCCCACCTCTCACCCCTGCCAGCCAGGATCACTAGCACGTAAATGCACACACCCAGCAAGTACAGGTCAACCTGGATAGAGCACGCTCATCTTCCATATGACCTCCAGCTCCAGAGTGCTGTACCACTATGATTGGGCCTAACTTTTTAGGTATATAATGTAAAATCATGACCATAGGGGCTAGCAGGTGGTATGGTGAAGATGCTGGATTCCCATGTGGTTGGACACAGTTCAAATCCTGGGCTGGGCGGTTTGAAAAAAATCACATAGGGTACATGTGTATGCATGCCCAAAATCCCAGAAGAAGGGATTGCCATGGGGCCACCCCTCTTGGGGGTGACTTCTCGTTTTCTGTCTCTGGCTCTATCCAGTGACCACATGTGCCCCATGGCAAAAACTTAAAAAAAAAAAAATCAGGACTATATTTTCACTTTTGAGAACCTAATGCAAGGTAATGTTTATTTTTTGATATACAGATTTCATAATCATTACCCCTCTTTTTTTTTTTTTAATAAGAGGCGGAAAGAGAGAGAGAGAAGCACAGATAGATAGGTATTCTTCTTTTCCAAAAAAAAAGTTTAGAGGTTTTTGCCATAGGGTGCATGTACCTGCTAGAAAGAAAGACAAAGGTGTGTGGGAAATTGAGAAATCACCCCCCCAAGGGGGTGTCCATGATACGATTCCTCCTCCATTCTCCTGGGATATTGGGCATGCAAGCACACACACTGGGTTTGACTTTTTTTTTTTCATTATGAAAACGTCTTTATTTGAAGAGAAAAACATTTTAGTCCACAAAAATTTTTAGCAAGTTTCACTTAGTAAAATACACCCAAAGAAAGCACAGTACAAAGGAAGTATAAGTCAAGGCCTCAACAATTCCCATAATATTAGTATTGTGTGTCAGTTCTCAAAACTAACTTTTCAAAAGATTAAACCTAACTTTAAAAAGTCTTAGGTAAAAATATAAATAGAATAAACAAATGAGAAATGTTTCTCTTTGAAATGGGAATCCAGTACCTCTGAGTATTCCAAAAGAGCCCATCTCCCCAAGGTGTTCATAGGATTGGTATAAAAGACCACACTTAACATACTCGTACTACTTTAATTCAGAGAACATCATTCAGAATCTATTACCAGAATATTAATTGAGTAAACCTGAAAACAGTTTCTGTTTACTCAGCACCACATGTTAGAAGAAACTTCACATGAGAAAACACTGAAGTGGTAATTTTTTCAATCTAGATTTCACAAACTCATGGTACAAAAATGAGTTTCTCCTGGAGTTGTAAGTGCCTGTCACAGCTTGTTGGCTGCCTCTGAGAATACAATTCAAACACACCTTCCTACAAAACTAGCTGTATCCACTCATGCTGTTCTAACTGCTGTGGGTGGCCTCTAACAGCCACTCACTGACTGGCTCTCCAGGCTGCTGTCAGTGACCTGGGCTTCAGACCCCCGCCTTGCATCACATGGCTGCTATATGCCCCAGCGGTCGAAGTGAAGAATAACTATCTGTGCGATACGTTGGCCACCACAGCTTCTTTGTGGGTAGCAAATTCAACATGCGCTTCTTTCTCCTGTCACTCTTCCATCTGGACCGATCTCAACATGGCTCTCACAGGGTTGAATGGAAGGGAGTTGTAAATGTTCTCAGTGGCCTTATAGGGCAGCCCCCTCATGTGGACACAGCACCCGATGATGATCTGCACCACGAGCTTGCTGGTCATACATCCCTGAAAGACAGTAACTGAGGTCTCTTCCAAACATGTCGGTGGTAAAACCAGAGCTGTTGTTAAAGCCACCGTACTCTTCGTAGTCCCCGTAGCCTGCACTGTAGGCCCCAGGCCTCATCTTAACCAGATCTGCTTGTTTCACGATGCCAATGTATCTCCTGGCAGTGCCAGATGGTCACAGGGCCCAGCCACTACATGAACTTCTGAGGGGATCCAAATAGGACCGAACTTCTGCCTGACTGCTCTTCAACACTTCGAAATACCTGTGCCCTATTCTCTCCATGTGCTTCCCTAGGGCCCTCTCTGCTAACTCCTGGGAGGCAAACTGCACAAAAGCTGCCCCTGTACCCTTGCCTTCGGGGTCTACAGGCAATGTGATCCTGTTCAATTTCTTCTTTTATGCATCCAAATGGGAGTCATCGAAGCCATCACTGGTGCTGTCAGTCTGTGCAGACCACTGTACTTCAACATCCAATCCATTTCGGTCCTGTGAGACTTTGACACCGCACTATATCGGTGTCCCATGCTTTCTCTGTCTTTTTTTTCAGGGCCACTGCTATACTATCTTCTGATTAAAGCTCAATGAAAGCCTCACCACTCCACCAGTCTTCTCTAGTGTATATGAAATGGACATCAGCAGCCCCATCATGAAATTGTGCAGGTGGAGAGGAAGTTCTGCACTTCCTCAACACAACAGGACCAAGGCAGGCATGAGCTTGACCACCAAGCCTTCAATTTACCTCCCTCACGGCCCAGCATCATGGACACTTGACATGGCACATGTTAGTTTTTGTTTACTCAGCATCATGTTAGAAGAAAACTTCACATGAGAAAACACTGAAGTGGTAAATTTTTAAATCCAGATTTCACAAACTCATGGTACAAAAATGGGTACAACAGCTTCTCCTGGAGTTATAAGTGCTTGTCACAGCTTGTTAGCTGCCTCTGAGAATTTGATTCAAACACCATGTTCCTACAAAACTAGTTATATCTACTCATGCTGTTCTAACTGCTGTAGGTGGCCTTATACCAGCCACTCACTGACTGGCTCTCCAGGCTGCTGTCAGTGACCTGGGCTTCAGACCCCCGCCTTGCATCACATGGCTGCTATATGCCCCAGCGGTCGAAGTGAAGAATAACTATCTGTGCGATACGTTGGCCACCACAGCTTCTTTGTGGGTAGCAAATTCAACATGCGCTTCTTTCTCCTGTCACTCTTCCATCTGGACCGATCTCAACATGGCTCTCACAGGGTTGAATGGAAGGGAGTTGTAAATGTTCTCAGTGGCCTTATAGGGCAGCCCCCTCATGTGGACACAGCACCCGATGATGATCTGCACCACGAGCTTGCTGGTCATACATCCCTGAAAGACAGTAACTGAGGTCTCTTCCAAACATGTCGGTGGTAAAACCAGAGCTGTTGTTAAAGCCACCGTACTCTTCGTAGTCCCCGTAGCCTGCACTGTAGGCCCCAGGCCTCATCTTAACCAGATCTGCTTGTTTCACGATGCCAATGTATCTCCTGGCAGTGCCAGATGGTCACAGGGCCCAGCCACTACATGAACTTCTGAGGGGATCCAAATAGGACCGAACTTCTGCCTGACTGCTCTTCAACACTTCGAAATACCTGTGCCCTATTCTCTCCATGTGCTTCCCTAGGGCCCTCTCTGCTAACTCCTGGGAGGCAAACTGCACAAAAGCTGCCCCTGTACCCTTGCCTTCGGGGTCTACAGGCAATGTGATCCTGTTCAATTTCTTCTTTTATGCATCCAAATGGGAGTCATCGAAGCCATCACTGGTGCTGTCAGTCTGTGCAGACCACTGTACTTCAACATCCAATCCATTTCGGTCCTGTGAGACTTTGACACCGCACTATATCGGTGTCCCATGCTTTCTCTGTCTTTTTTTTCAGGGCCACTGCTATACTATCTTCTGATTAAAGCTCAATGAAAGCCTCACCACTCCACCAGTCTTCTCTAGTGTATATGAAATGGACATCAGCAGCCCCATCATGAAATTGTGCAGGTGGAGAGGAAGTTCTGCACTTCCTCAACACAACAGGACCAAGGCAGGCATGAGCTTGACCACCAAGCCTTCAATTTACCTCCCTCACGGCCCAGCATCATGGACACTTGACATGGCACATGTTATAAAAACTTAGGCACAAAAAAAGTGCATCGACTTTGGAAATGGAATTCAAAGAGTTCATGGAAAAATGAAATTTAAAAACATAACCTTTCTCTCTCAACAAAAGTTCCATCAAATTCAAACACTTTTTAAACTGACAATACCAACCACTTAGTCTTCCTGTAAAGAACTGAAAGGTCCTGCAAATTTAACCATCTAAATGCAGTCTCTTTTCATTATTAGAAAAATTGGTGCCTTTAAAGATTTTAAGATTAGGAAAATTAGAAGGAGTCAAATCAGAACAGTATGGTGGATGTCTAATGATTTACCATCATGACTCTTACAATACCGTCCTTGTTTGATGACAGGAATGAGCAGGAGTGTTGTCATGAAGAAGGATGTTCTAGTGACGGTTTCCTGAGCTTTTTCTAAAGCTTTGGTTAACTTTCTCAAAACACTCTTAATAAGCAGATATTTTCATTGTATGGTGCTCCAGAAAAGTCAATAAGCAAAATGCTCTGAGCATCCCCAAAACTTGCCGACTGTTGCCCTTGACTGGTCCACTTATACTTTGACTGGGCCACTTCCCCATCTTGGTAGGTATTGCTTTGATTGTGCTTTGTCTTCAGGATCGCATTGGTAAAGCTGTTCATCTCCTTTTATAATTCTTCTGAGAAATTCTTCCGGGTCTTGATCTCACTTGTTTAAAATTTCCATTGAAAGCTCTGCTCTCGTGCGCAGCTGATTTGGGTGGAACGATTTTGGCATCTATAGAGTAGAACGTTTGCTCGGCTTAAAATTTTTTAGTCAGAATTACATAAGTAGAACCAGTTGAGATATCTATCAGTTACTGTTTCTGTTGTTAATCATCAGCCCTCTTCAATTAGAGCATGATCAAGATTAGTATTTTTCTTTCAAACTGATGTAGTTTGCAGCTATGGGTCTTATCATTATCATCATCTTCACCATCTTTAATATCTTAAACACTATAAACATTGCCTAGTCCCTTTTTAAAGTGGCTTATCCATTTGTAAGCTGCTGATTTTTCTGGGGCGTTGTCTCCATAAACTTTTTTGTAAAAAGCATCAGTGATTTCACCATTCTTCCACCCAAGCTTCACCACAAACTTGATGTTTCTTCTTGCTTCAATTTTAACAGAATTCATGTTGCTCTGATGGCAACTCTTCCCAACCTGGTGTCTTATCCTTCTCAGTGCCTCAAACTACATGCAGGCATGTTTCCCACGCCACTGGGTTCAGGACTCAAACACAGTCAGCCTTATAGATTCCAGCCACCTTAACCACCACACCACCAACTGATCCTCAACCTTTCTTTTAGGTTGACATTAGGAAATCTTCCTGAGGTAGACGCAGCACAGCAGGGATTCCACGAGGGAGCCAGACTGCCAGGTTTGATTTTTAAGCCTCTGGACCCAGGACTCAAACGGTGGTCAACCATGCCGAAGTCCAGTGACATAACTGCTATGCCATCTGCTGGACCCCAGATAGATAGCGTAGCAGTTATGTCACTGGACTTTACAGTGTTGCCTCGACATCCTACTTTTCCCGTTTCTCATCTGGCTAGGCCTACAGGGGCTCATGAGTGCACCCTGTGTGTTACAGATGCCCTGAGAAGTGAACCATGGCTTCCAGCCTCCCAAGCAGTGACACTACCTGTGTACTACCACAACCGCACCCCAAACATTTTTTAAGTTACAAAGAGGCCAGAGATTACATATAGACTACTGTCATAGTGTCTCATTCGCCTTCACTTCTTTTTTTTTTTACATTTTAACTTCACCTATAAACCAAATCCAAATATACTTACGTTTTCGATCATCACCACATGCAACCTCAGCAAGGTACCGGAAGTAATCTCCCTTCATTTTCAGATAGAAGACCTTACTCTCTGGATTAGTTGCATTGGCTATTAAATACTTATCCAATAATTCCTGAAAAGAAATAAGATAAAACATTAGGCACTAATAAAAAGCTACGTAGTTAAAGCCAAAAACTTAAAATGATGTGTTAATGCACTGGAAGCATTAGAAGCATTAATTACCACAGTAACATTCTACCATACCAGCTTGAACTCGCAACATGTTCTTCAAGCAGGGATCAGGTTGCTGCTACTAGTGGCCCTGGTAGGCTGGCTTTACATGATCCAACCCACAGTTTCTAATGGTAAAGTTAGATTACACCAGCTAAAAAGAGCTTTAAAAAAAAAAGCCTATCTGTTCAGGTCCCCATGCATTCAACCAACATTTACTGATACCTGTTAGGTGCCCGATGGCTGACCAAAATGGAGTTAAAAAACTAAGAAAAGGCCCCTGCCCTTAAGAAGTTTGCCATCTATAAATATACCTCTAACTATACATCAGCATTAACAGATATGAGTACGGTATTATGGAAGCACGGAGAGGGAGTAACTGGTGGTTCTGGTTCTGCTGGAGATAGACTCCAGTTTGATAGGCTTCCTGGGGAAGGGACTGCCAAAAATGGCATTAAGAAAGTTCCAGGCAGAGAACTGTCTTAGGGAGAGGAAAGAAAATGTTTAAGACATGAAGAACAGCATAAACACAGAACAGACATATCCTAAGGGCCTAGAGCAGTGCTCCTGAGTGCCGCCTACAGTTTCTTTCTGCAGTTGAGTTATTGTTGCTGGTTTTATTCCAGATTTTTGCCACAGGACACGTGCAATCACTCAAGAGAGGAAAAGCGAGAAATCACCCACCTAAGGAGATGGACACGACACAATCCCTTCTCCATTCTCCTCTTGAGATTTTGGGCATGCGCGCATGTGCACACATACAAACACACACTCAATGTATTTTCCAAGCTGCTGGGTCCAGGAATCAAACCAGAGTTGGCCATGTGGGATCCAGAGCCTTAACCACTACACCACCTGCTGGCCCAGTTTTGTTTGTTTCTTTTTTATTTATTTATTTTAATTTGACCAGAGAGGGACAGAATGAGAGAGAGAAAGAAAAAGTGAGAATGTAAGCCGCCAAGTCCAGGACTCGAACTGTGGTTGGCCATGTGGGAGTCCAGTGCCCTTAACCACCATACCACCTATTGAACCCGGGCCTGTTGTTTTTAACAGTTTTAAAATTCTTCCAAATTTCTGAGTAAGCTATATATCTTAAGCATTAAGTCCAACTGAAACGAAGATAACCACGGAATCTGAGGAAGAGGCTTAGAAACTCACAAAGCAATTTGACAGTAACTTTATGCCTACTGAATTTAATCATTAAAACAAATTAGGTGACTATTTCATGGAAAGAAATATTCACTTGCTCCAATGTGCTTCTCAAACGGAGGTATTTGTACTTCTAGAAGCCCAAAGTACGTACACCTGGGAGTATGTAAAGTCACAAAAGGCAAATGTGATAACTATCTTCTCAGACTAATTTAATTTGATGCTAACTTAAAATATTTCTGTATTAAAAAATACCACAGAGCAGACTAAAATTCTCATAGAAATTTTAAGATGTGACCACCACCCAATTTATATGTGTTTTGGGAATAAAACCAATAAACAGAAGTTGGGTCAGCTGGTAGCATGGTAGTTAAGGCAGCTGAATCCCATATGGTTTACTGCTACAGAGTCCTGGACCTGGTAGCTTAAAAAATACTCTGGGCATGTGTGTCCGTATGCCCAAATTCCCAAGAGGAGAATGGAGGAAGGGAAAGGAACTGTAGTCAGTCATGTGGGAGTCCAGCACCTTAACCACCACATCTCTTGCTGGCCTCCCAAAATTTTAATTTTTCCCCCCATAGGGCATGTGTACTCACTGGAGGGATGGAGAAAGAAAATAAGAGGGAAAGTGAAACCCCCACAGCAGGGGGGTGGGGGTGGTGGCCATGTAACAACCCCTTCCATGTTCTTGGGATTTTGGACACACAGACACACACACACCCCTGGTGTGATTTTCAAGTTGCTGGGTTTGGGATTTGAACCACAGTCACCTCTGTGGGAATCCAGCACCTTACCCATACCACCTCCTGGCCCACCAATGGAAAATATTAAGCAAGGAAATAAGATGTTAGCATTTTACAAAAATAGCAAAAGAGATTATCAGTTAATATCTACATAAGAATACCAACTATAATACATATTGGACAGTTTGGAAAATAACCCAGTTAAGACCGCTTCAAATTTATGTAACATATTACTGAAGTTCAGAGGTCATTAAGGGCCATCAACAACTGTACCAACAAGAATTGTTTATGGAAAAAGAACTGAGAGATCAGATTTTAAGAATGATTTTTGCTTAAAATCATCAACACAATTTTAATGGTTATTTAACTTTCCCTTCTATTAACATTTTTACATTACCATGGATGATTTTCAATTTAAAAATTATGGTTATGATCTGAATTTAGAGGGTTTTCGTTTTTGGGTAAAGGGGAGAAAATCTGAGACAGGTACAAGACATGTTCTAGATTTCAAACTAGACTCAGACATTGCTATCTTTATTATTTATTTTTTTTTTTGGGGGGGGGAAAGGTTTTTGCTAAAGGGCATGTGTGCTCACCAGAAGGACAGAGAGACAGAAAGCAAGAAATCACCCCCAAGGGGGGGATGGCCATGCTGCAATCCCTCCTCCTCCATTCTCCTTTGGGGATCCTGGGCACACATGCACACGCACCCGGCATGAGTTGAAGGCACTGGGTCTGGGACTTGAACCACGGTTGACTGCATGGGAGTCCAGAGACATAGTCATTATGCCAACTGCTGGTCTCAGACCTTGCTATCTTAATACACACACACACACACACAGTGAATCTTAGCAGTATCAAAGAAGGCCAACAGTGTTTGGCCTGGAGGAAATACTGTTTTTTGCTTATAGCCATACCAAGGACGTCAGGTATAAAACAAATTAGTGTTTTCCACTTGTGTTGTTCCCCAAAGTGAGCCAGTCAGTTACAATGAAATCCTACAGAAGATCTCCAAAAAGACATCAGCTCTGCTGGACACGTTAAGTACACTCGCAGAAAAAAGCTACTCAGTCCCTTGAAGACCTAGCACTCTGTGGTTGGAGAGGCTGAGGAGAGTCTGACCAGAATGAGGGCCTGGGCGAGGAGCAGATAAGAGAACTTTCAATTCTAGCACTAGTCCCTCCCGAGTCACTCTGGCCAGACGTGGGCTTGCTCACAAGGTCTTTGATGAGGACAGCTCTACAATTACTCACAGGCATGTTTGTCTTCCAGGGACTCAGAAAGATGGTATACACAGCTCCTGTATCAGTTACCATTCAACCACTTAGGAGCTAACTTTTCCTTTCTAAAAATCACTAACTGTGACAACTAGTTTGTACACAGCCACTCTGCACAACCATGTTGCCCTATGACAAACTGGCTGGACATCGTTTCCATCCTCCAGTTCTGGCCAGGCAGCAGGGTTCTTTGACAGACGCATTAGCTCTCTGTGGAGGAAACAAAGGTACAGAAAACTTCCATCTGTTCACATGCAATCAGTAGGAGAGTAAAGTTTTAGCCCCATTAAAAGACAAATGATTTTGGGACCAGTAGTTGGCATAATGGGTATGTCGCTGGACTCCCATGTAGTCGACCACAGTTCAAGTCCTGGACCAGGTGGCTTAAACTCATCGGGGTGCGGGTGCGTGTGCGCCCAAGATCTTGAGAGGAGAGTGGAAGAGAAGGAATTGTGGCGTGGCCATGCCCCCCCCCCAAGGGGGGGGAGTGATATCTTGCTTTCTTTCTGTCTCTGTTTCTCTCTGTCTTTCTGGTGAGCACATGCGCCCTCTTACAAAAACCTCTCCCCCCAAAAAAGAGAGGAAAGACAAAGAATTTTGCTTCACATTTTACCAAATGATCATGGCTATATCTAGTATTATCAATACTAGGTTATTAGTTATTAATACCAGATATAACACAGGCTGTAAGTACTGAAGATATAGCCTATTTGAAAATGTGGAAGAATTTAAGATGGGAATAATCATAAAGAGCACTATACGACAAAAGTGCCAAAGAAAATTGCCAAGAAATAATACTGATGCAAATTTAGCACAGTAATTACTCCTCCTGAGCCCTACTCCCATGTCTTACAGAAAAGACCAGACAATATAAAAGCACCTTGAATCCATCTCCCTCTTTTTATTTTTTTATTTTTCACTCCAGGACTTGGGTGCTTTCCAAGATAGAGGGGCCAGCAGGTGGCATGGTGGGTAAGGGTGCTGGACTCCCACATGGCCAACCGTGGTTTGGTCCCAGACCTGGTGGCTTACTTGCTTTCTCTCTGTTCTTTCTGGCCAAATTGAAAAAAAAAAAAAAAAAAAAAAAAAAGATAAAAATAATTCTTTAAAAGAAGAAATTATTTAACAAAACAGAGAGAAATGGAAAGTAAGAAAGCACCCCCACCTCTGACACTGGCCATGCCCCAATACCTTTTCCTGCATTCTCCTCTTGGGATTTTGGACATGAGCACATGCATTTACTTAGCTTGTTTTTCTTTCTTTTTTTTAATCAATTTATTTAATTATTTATTGTTATTATTTTTTAATTTTACGAGAGAGAGCTAGAGATATACCAAAAGTGAGAAAGTAAGTCACCAGGTCTAGGACTCAAACGATGGTCAGTCATGTGGGAGTCCAGCACCTTAACCTGCCGGCCCTGCCTGGCTTATTTTTACAGGCCCTGGGGTGCAGGACTTGAATTACACAGTCAACTCCATGGAATCTAGTTTGTTTTAAACTCCACATCATCTACTGGTCCACTAATTCTAAGAGTGAATGACTTTCATGTGAAACAATCTTACCACCTCTTCAACAGCTTTTTCAAACTCACTTGGCTTCAATAATCTATGTACTCAACATACCCTTTTTTAATCCTAAAATCATTTCTAAGCGAATTTTTACAGATAGAATAAGAGATTCTTGTCTCTCATTTTATAGCTAATTCTTTTTAACTGGCAGAGAGTAGGGTGTTC